CACCTCTAGAACACTAGTTAGCGGCGGAGGTTTCTGTGATGTACTGATAAGTTTAGTTGATTCAAAACACACATGAAACACACATTAAACATGCCTTAGTAAAGACAATTTAAATTACAAATACTCAAATCGGCTTCACTATAACTTGCATCACTCGCATATAAAACATTTGTCTTTTGCTGGGCACATTCTCCCCACAAATACAACATGCTAATGTTATTAGCACAAGCCTATGGTGTTTTAAATTGTACAAATTAGCCTAGCGACAAGCAGAGATTTCCTTTGCTCATATGAAGCCAGGATAAATCACACACAAGGCTTAAAATGCTATTTTTGTGGAGGCTTTATTGTCTTCACAGTGTATGTTTATTATCTGTGAAATTAAAGTAAATACAAGCTTCATTCCCACTGAGGGAAATGGTTTCAGCTTACATAACTAGACAGGAGCTACATTTCTGGGGAGGTGCACGTCAGGCTACGGCCTAGGTTAAGGGCTTAGACATTTAGTTTGTGTGTGTGTGTGTGTGTGTGTGTGTGTGTGTGTGTGTGTGGGTGTACACACAAGAATTTTACTCAACATGGTATTCAGAATGGACAGAAATGAGATTACAGAGAGAGCAAAAACATTTGGTTATGAGATTATGAAACCAAAGCAATTTAGACAAAAGAAATTGTTATTATCATTTTATTTATTATATGGATCAAAATTAAGTGCATATGTTTCTTATTTTGTGGATTCTGGGCACAAAGTATTCCACAAGAAAGCAAAACACAAATTTTAATGTCATTTGATTACTATAAGAAGATAATCTTTCCTTCTGACTTAAGGTGAGACATGGCAGGCAAAAACATCGATTTTTCATGCAGTGGTTAATTTTGAGATTTTGGGCTTTACTCCTTGAATATTATTCTTTCAAACTGCTATAAAGAAAACATTCAAATTATACATTTAGACGTTTATTTTATTACATTTTGTCTACTTATATTATGTTATTATGTTATTATGTAAAACCGTGAATGACGTTTTCTCAAAATGAGTTTTTTGTCATACTCCAAGTCGAGCATCTCAGCCTCTGTAGCACCTATGTACACCAAACTTTCCAGTTATACACCTAGCTATATTCTGAAGATATTTACAGAGGGATTTGTTAATATATCATTCCTAGCCTGATTTATGTGACATTTTATTCACAAAAATATGGTGAAAATCGATTTTTTTTTAAGGCTATGGACAGTATATTTTGATTTTCTAGGTAATAAAAGCAGATATCATTAAATCCTTTTGTAAAATTTTTTTCATCTTATATGTAAACAAAATGAAAAAAGAATTTTGCACCTGGCTTTATCAGATGTTCAGATTTATCTTCCTAAAATCTATGCAAATTAGTGCATATTTAATGATATCCTGCATAATTTGCATCATTAAACATTAAAATTTGAAAAACTTGTTATACATTTTTTTCTGATTTTTTTTTTATGATGATATCTATTATTTTAAAATTTTATCCTATTCACCTGTAGTGTCTCGCCCTAAAAAAAAGTCCTGATTATGAGAAGATACCAGGGTTTATGGTTTACTTTGAATTATTTGCACTTGACTGTGAGTTCTTGTAAACTTTGCATGTAAAATGTAAATACAAATCTAGGCATCGAGTTTGTTCCTTTGAATTTAGTTTTTATGTTATTGTGGCACACACTGGTGCTCTTTATGGTTCCTGTATAATTCTTATCACTTAGCTGGAAACTGCATAGGATGGTGATATGAATGTGGTAAATCTAGAAAGACTTGGGCTGAACAATAGAATTGTGGCATCTTCCTAGACTTCTGCTAAGCAGGAAACAGGTCTGTAGGCAGATCTCATTGGGATGGTTGAAACAATAAACTCAGGAAAAAAAGCCAAATGCTGCAGGCACATTTTAACTTCAAATAACATTTTTTAAAAAACGTGTTTTTCTTTCTAAAATTATGTAACTGAACCAGAGACACTATGAACACACGGTACACATCTTAACCACCAGGTCACCTTTTATGGGACACCTTGTGAAAAGCTAATGCCAAGTATTTGTTTAACATGTGTGATCACATTACAGTGGAACACAGTTAAATATATTAAGCACTGATTATTAACTTTGGCACATTTGTGATACTTTGACGTTGTAAAAAATATTGGCATTAGTGTCATCACGTTAATATCAACCATATTGCCTGGCTGTAGTGCTGTGGCTCTGACACAAGGAGTCAATTATCTATGGTATAAGCTCAGTATAATATAAAAGGTGTAATATATTCTACTGTGGTTTTACTCATTTGTTGCTCTGCATCAGCGTGCAAGGGTAAATGTTAGACCATCACACAGGGCAGAGTGCTTTACATTAATATAAATGAGCAGTCAATACAAAAGACAATAGACAATAGTCTAAATGGAGGAGACCATTCAGCTGTTACATGTCTGCAACTTTGTTTAAATGTGCTGCCACCTGTTTTGGCCGGGACACTCTTGTAAAGGAGTCATTTAATTTCATTTAACCTCAAACAGGCTTTCCTTAGTTTAAGACATTTGAAATAATGTAACATGTTTGCATTTGTGTGGGGCTCCTACCAGTGTGCATGGCCCAGCTCCTGAAGAGTGTAGCATCTCGGTCAATACTCCAGCCATGACGAGCGGCATGTTTCCATGGGATTTGGAAAATTTGTGCTGACTGGAATATAAAACAACAAAACAGCACTGAATACATCATTGCCAAGAGTATTTCTTGACTCATTAACCTGTGTCTGCTGTCTGAAAGTGATTTGATCCACAGCAAAACTTTCTGCCCCCAGGTGTGTATGCATGTGTTTGTATTGGTTTCTATTAGCTGTAAAATGGAGGGGTCTACCTGGTCCAGCCAGCTGACTCCTGGATACCTCCCAGACTGAATCTGCTCCTCCAGCCACGGCCTCAGCCTCAGCCGGCCTGGTTGCTGCATGCTGCAGTCCCTGCTTCAGGTGTGCAGAAAGGTGTGGTCACGTCACTGGCTTCACAGGAGTTCCAGCAATAACAGAAAATTTCTCAGGAGCTCAGATTTGATCAGAGGTTACTCCAAGACACCCCTCCTCTGCTGCGTTCTTCCAATCAAACACCTCACACTTAATCCTGCTCCTCCTCCAATGACCTTCCTCACTGCTTGAGTGGCTCCTCCAGTTACAGGAAATACTGCATCTACTGTATGTTCTCTTCATGACAGAGACGAGAGAGGTGGAGTATTATGGAGTGGAGATCTGTGAAGGTCCTTGTAACGATATTTAATGCTTTTCTTGCAGGTCTACATGCTTAGTGTGGACAGGACTGTGGATTTAACACTGCTAACACTTGTTCAAAGTCACCTGAAGGGTTTAAGTCAGTGCTACGTTGATGGGAAGTTTCTGTGGCAGCAGTGAAAGAGTGTGTTCATGTAAGACCACCAGGTGGCAGCAGAGTTCATGCTGTATGTGACAGACAAGCTGCTTCATATGTTGGGCTGGGACAGTGCCTTACTTTGGAGGTTTACATGAAACGCTTCTGTTGAATTAAACAAGAACACCCTTTAAAACTTGTGTCCCTCTTTTACAATGTTCACATTTTTTAAAATACAGAATATGCACTTCGATACAATATCCTATGTGCACATTTACAGTATCAAATAAACGCTGGAAATTCCTACATACTAGTACTATATGGTATTCAGGCATGTTTTTACAAGGCCTATTAATTCAGCTTAGCAGTCTTACTCTCAATAGATTTCACATTCACTCAGTGACTTCACAGGGGGTCTTATAAAGTTAGGAACAGCCTTTGTTTTGTCTAATTTTTTTGGTGATTTGCAATAAGGTGCAAAAAAGCAAACAATACCGTTGAAGTGGAAATTACTTGTTTTACATTATAACGTCAAAAACTCAGCAGCAATGTATCTCTGAAACACCACTCAACATAATATGAACAACTTTTATTTGAATAACTTCTACCAGAGATTACCAACATTTGTATAAACATTTATAGGAAAATGAGTTCCATATCTTTGCTGCGGTGAGAATAGCCTACTGTGTGAAGGTGACGTGTGCTTCTGTGGAATTAGCTCAGCCATTCCAGGGAAGAGAAATGAGGAAGTCATTTCATAACCCTGAAAAGCACAAGGTCATTATGACAGCTGATTGTTGTGACTTGTTTCAAACGCAGGGTTCAGTTTATTCGGATGTAATTTTCCTGGAAAGGCTCAGTATTGGTGGCCCTAGTAGGTACATATGCTTTTTTTGTGATGACTCCTCTGGTCAAGTCAAGAGAGAGAGAATGAAATAATTTAACATAAATGACTCATCTGTTACCTCATATTTCACTGAAGTCTTACTAATACTGTACGAGATGAATAGACATGATTTACAGTGACAGTGTGCTTTATACATTTAGGGAATACATTTCCCATGAGCTATGTGACAAACAATGACCTCAGCTGAATATGACGAGAGAGATACTGATATGTGACTGCAGCAGTTTTGTTTAAGCACACATTTAAAACTCCAGTGCATTCTGTTTAAAACAGACATTTTAAGACTCCCCCCATTTACCAATCCACGCCGACATCTTCAACCCACCACCTGCTCGTCTCCGATCTAGATGTCCAATGTGGAAGGACCCCCCACCCACTGACTTTGATTCCCTGTCTGCCTGGGTGACTGAATGGGAATCCAAAGACACCCCAAACAAACATCTAGTGTCAGACCAGACTCGACCAGTCTCTGGCACCAACCTCCCAAGGACAGTGGTCCACGTTGAACAGATTTAGGACTGGTCAAGGTCCCTGCTTGGCCAGCCTTCACAGATGGGGGTGCAGCTTGAGCCCAATGTGTGCTTGTGGAGAGGAGCAAACCATGGAGCATATTATTGAAGCCTGCCCTCTCCCAAGACTGAAAGGAGGTCTAGTCTCCCTCCACAATATAGATCAAGAGGCTACTGCTTGGCTTGAGAAATTTCCATTCGCTAAATAAATAAATCTTACATGAATGTTTTTTATTTACAAACTTTACAAATGTTTCACATTAAATGTAGTCATACACAGTTGCACAGTATTTGGAAATTGAACAAATCAACTGTTCTTACGGTGCAAAGATGAGTTTTCTTTGAAATACAGCAGCACACACAATGTGTAACGTGTAAATGAGCAAACAATACAACTCCAAGTCCATTTATTAACTGTTCAGGAGCTTTCAGTCACATCACATGCTCCATATCAGCGGATAATATCCATGACAACAGGGCAAACTCAATCTCCTCAATTAATGTTCGAACAGTTACAAATTTAAACACTTCACAGCCTGTTACATCCTTCTCTCCACATACATACATAAAACTGGGGAACTGGGATGTATTTGCTGTAAAAAAAAAAAAAAGGGGCCATAGCATAAAGCCTTAGGTTGATAACAATATCACAGATAACATTCTGCACATTTTTATAAGGTTTTCTCTTGTGCTCTAAAAAAAAATAGGGTTAAGACAATTGACTGAATGTGTGAATGAGTTTATATAGAAACACTTCTAGAAAAGCTAAAAACTAAATCTATAAGAAAAAACGTTCGTCATCCCTTTATGACAACAGAAGAACCATTTCATCATATTTATGTTGGTGTATGATGATAGTAACAGGTTAAAAAGCTCCTCTTGAGGTCAGGAGCTTCATTGGCTGCAAGACCCATCAGTCATCAGACCAACTGCTTGCTATTGGCTGGGTCTATAGATAGAAGAGAGAGGCAGGCCCTTCCTTTCAACACAGGCTCTTGTTGGCTATTGTAGGCTGTGGAGAGGACATGAAAGCTTGAATTGGCTCAAGTGGGGTGTCAATCAAAAGGTCAGAGAGTTCAACCACCACTTTGATATCTCCCTATCGGCAATATTTTCATGCAAACTGAAGTTATTATGGACTGTACATGGAGAAATAAGAATATTTAAAATGATGCAATGATAGTCTGCAGAAATCCTCAGCGCAATAATGTATTTGGACTAAAAATTTCACTAGTTGTGGATTGTCTGGACCTTTGTGAATGTATCAGGACCATTTTTTGTTGAAATATTATCGATCTGTGGATTATGATGAAGCATAATGGGTAAGTTATAACTGTTTGTTTGTTGTTTGTCTGACAGACGCAATTTTTGTACCTGCTGTGGTGGTTGTATCTTGGAATGGTCCACATCAATCAAACTGAATGTACTGTAGCTTTCTAATGACATGTCGTAAAAGTAAACCACATAAACAAAGCAGTTGTTTACATATTATGATTATCTAATAAACCATACAAAGGCCTGCCTGTATGGTTAAGAGAAAAAAGCAAAACACTGCACCATTAAGACTAAATGCATAAATATTCAGGGCTACACACTCTGATAGCCGCTGTCTGTGATGATTGGCATAGACTGGTCAGCAGAGATCAAAGGGAGAATCGGTCTCTGGAGCTCAGAGGGACACTGGTAACTCTGGACATTGTTCATGAAACCTGGAGTCATCTTGGTGAATGTTTCCTCTGGACGTTTGTTCAATTGTGGCTCCTCCTCACCACTTCTCTCTTCTGAAAACAAAATATCAGGCTGCTCCACCAGATTCTGAAACGACTGGTAGTTGTCATCCACTAGAGGAAAGCTGAGTGCGCCTGCAGGCACTGATTTTGCAACCTGCAAGCACGTATTTTCATCACAAACAACTTCCCCTTCAGTTTTTCCATGTGGCTTTGTCGCACCACAGTCCATCTCATTGAAGGACATTGGGCTGGTGCCACTAGAGGTGGAGAACAAACTGGAGGCTTCTGAAAATGACCCAAAATCTGCATTGCGTTGCTCATATGGCATCTCTGTTGCTATTGGAAATGAAACTACTGGTTGTGACTTCACAAATGAACAAGCTGATGCCTGCTGGTCGACACAGGTCACATCGTCACCGGCACAAGGATGGTATGTAGAGTCACGCAGCATATCAGCCTGCGTCTGGACTTTGGAGCAGTTTGTCGTCGTCTCCTGTGAGCAGCTTGAAATGAAATAGGTTTTATTGTTAAAGCAAGATGATCCAGACCTCATGTCGTCAGCTCGGACACCACGAGGGTTGTATGAAGGAGAAATCAGACCACTGTCTTTGTTTACTTCTGGATTAAGTGAAACAGTGGTCAAAGGTGATATCGGGCTGATGTTGGGGAAAGCTTTAACAAGGGCATCCTGAACACCAGCGATGATGTCAGCAGGCTCGGTGTGAGAACAATTGAGACAAGAAGAGCCAGTACTGATCCCACTGCTTTGTTGAGGGCTCCCACTGCTGGTGTCTCGCATTGACTCTGACCTGGATACAGAGAAACAGTTTACTTAACCTGCCAATATGATCACATATAACCCCTAAAGGCAATGTGTCATATTGTTGATGCACTAATGCAGCCACACTAACCAAGGTTTGCTGTCGTCTGGAACAAAGGGCTCAACACAGATAGAGGAGATGGTGGGTTGCACTGGCTTCAAGAGCTGCAACAAGGAGGATAAAAAATGATTAAACCAATAGATCTGACATTTTTCAGTTAAAAGTTTTAGTCAATTTCTGATTTCACATGAACTATTTAAAAGTGTAGAAAAACCTTTTCAAATTGGCTTCATGTTTCTGGAACTATCTTTACACATTTAAAATTACAGTCATTAAGAGTCATGGATGTTTTGGTGACACCCATGACCCATGCCAGTCACAGCAAGTGCAGTTAAATACTACAGCAAATGCCTGTTGAGTAGCTACTTTGACACAAACACAACACTACCCAGAGGTCATGACCATAGGTGAGGGTTGGGACGTAGATGGACCAGTAAATGGAAAGCTTTGTCTTCTTCTTCTCAGCTCCTGCATTACTGCAGAAGCCACACCAAACCGCCGATCCATCTCACGCTCCATTCAACCCTCACCCATGTACAAGACCCCGAGATACTTGAACTTCCTTGCTTGAGGCAGTAACTCTCCCATTCTTCATTGCAACAGGCTTCTTGTCCTATGAGATTCTTGGGCCGTCCTTCATGCATTGCTTTTTTGAGGTCTATCCACACATTTTTAAAGATGTTTCGGTCAGGGGACTGTGAGGGCCATGGCAAAACCTTCAGCTTGTGCCTCTTGATGTAGTCCATTGTGGATTTCGGTGTGTGTTAAGGATCATTGTTATCCTCTCTTCATCTTCAGCTTTTTTACAGATTGTGTGATGTTGCCTCCATGATTTGCTGGAATTTAACTAAATCCATTCTTCCTTCAACCTGTGAAATATTCCCCGTGCCACTGACTGCAACACAGGTCCAAAGCATGATGATCCACCCCGATGTTTAACAGTTGGACAGGTGTTCTTTTCATGAAATTCTGCACCTTTCTTTCTTCAAACATATCTTTGCTTATTGCGTTCACAAAGTTATATTTTAACTTCATCACTCCACAGGACTTGTTTCCAAAAAGCATCAGGCTTGTTTAGATGTTCCTTTGCAAACTTCTGATGCTGAATTTTGTGGTGGGGACGCATGTAAGGTTTTCTGCTAATGACTCTTCCATGACAGTCATATTTGTACGGGTGTAGCAGCACAGTAGAACAGTGCACCACCACTTCAGAGTCTGCTAAATCTTTCTGCAGGTCTTTTGCAGTCAAACAGGGTTTTGGTTTGCCTCTTTAGCAATCGTACATGCAACACTCTCGGTAAGTTTTCTTGGTCTTGCAGTCCTCAGCTTGACCGCCACAGTTCCTGTTTACTGCCATTTCCCAATTATATTACAAACTGAGGAAACAGCTGCCTGAAAACACTTTGCTATCTCCTTATAACCTTCTCCTGCTTTGTGGGCATCAATTATTTTAGCTTCCAGAGTGCTAGGCAACTGTTCAGATGAGCCCAATGCTGCTGATTGGCAGGAGTCAGAAAGCTTTGGAATTTGCATCATCTGGCCTTTCCTAACAATTACTGCCATAACCCTGCCAAGATAATTAAAGTCTGAGACCCTGGTAAAAGTTGTCTGAGAGCTCAAATGTCTTGGGGTGCACAAACCTTTGCATGGTGCTCCTGTTTTTTTCCACTCAAAAACTGAACAAAACAAAAATAAAACACTTATCTTGCTTAAATTGTTGAAAAGCATTTTTTATCTTTAACTTCATGCCTTTTGGAGATCGGTTTATCTTCTACTTACTTAACTATTCACAATAAACGGAATTTTGACCAGAGGTGCCCAAACTTTTGCATGCCACTGTGTACTATTTATGTGTAACTGGGCAAAATAAAAAGATGCAACAATTAAAGCTGCTACTGGGGGTAGGGAAAACAACTTCAAGTTCACATCACTAGGTGACTCACCTCCTGCTCACTTGGGTGTGTAATTAGAAGTTTGGGATTTGGACATTTGGCAACTGTTTCCCACCACTTTGTTTTGAGCCTAAAATTAATTGCACAAATAAATAAACAAAGATTACACACATGACACCTGAACACAACACAGGAGTTACAGTATTTAAAGGAAAAGACTTGTATATGTAATTCACTAACAGAGAAACAACACCAAGACAATATTTTCTCTGCATGACTTACTTTACATAACAGCAATATGCAGCAATGCTGATGATGACTGCAGCAACACTGAGGCTGATGATGATAACCAAGGGCAGGATGTAAGCGGCCATAGCTGTGAATAGAAACATGTATGAGGTCAGTTTGGAAGCACATTCAGCGCCCCAGGCAAGATTCAAATATGGCTCCGTTTTCTAAGCCCAAAGTTCTCTGGAAGCATAAATATGTTCTGTTCACTTGTGGTTGTGGTCAGTACCAAATCAAGCAAAAGGGAAAACAGTAGAGCATCTTGAACATGCTCACACGCTGTAGAGAATGTGGGTGGGGAGGGAGGTCCCTTAGGGTGCAGCAATGGGTTTGCACATGATTGCGGAGCAACACAGAAAGACAGACAGGACATGAGTCTATCTAATAGATCCATGAGTCAGTCACCAAGTCACAGAACAAATACTATGAGACAGTCATGACATTTATCTGAAATTATTATTTCACCCCTTGTTTTATCAGTGTGTGGGAAACACCTCCTCATTCATTTCAATGAGGCCACTGAGTTTGCGCAGTGTGCGTTCTTTAGTGGAGGAGGTCCAATTTTTGCCACAGTGCAACACTGATGCCAAATAAGTACATGCAGCGCACATTCTTGGTAGATCACTCATTTTTTTATTGTAAATAGCCGTCAGATCCTGGGCCAGATCCAACATGGATAGAGGCAAACAAATGTGCTGCATCTCAAAATTTCTTTTAAGAATGTTTTTGGTTTTGTGTTTTGTTTTTTTGTTTTTTTTTATATGTTAGTGTCATGAGAAGAACAAGGAAAGCTAGATTAGACAAACAACATATTTCATCTTCTAAATGGATTATAAGTATGTGAAAGGAATCTTATCATGCCTAAGAAATATACAGTTCACTTAAACATAAAAAGCAACAGATAAAGACTGAAAAGATGACACTTACGGGTTGTGAATTCCCACTCTTCACTACTGTCACTGAACTTGCCACTCCTGTTTGTGTAGCTTCTCACACAGACTGCATATGTTTTGCTCGGCTCCAGGTCTTCACCAGGTATTTCATAGTAATTCTGTCCTTCGAACGTAGTCGGTTTGACAGGTTTAATAACCTGGGATGAAGAAAAAAGAATTATCTTTTTTAACTTAATGGCAAACTGATATAATCACATACCAATGACTAAGTCTACATCTCCAGTACAAATGATCTCAGTGTTAAACAGTGTATGTATAATGGCTCCTACCTTTTGTGTGTCTCCTTTTATATGGTAAATCACCTCAGCGGTCAAGTCTTCACTGAAAAAGCCCTGGTGGTTTGTTTTCCACAGGATTTGAAAATTCCCATTAGATTCTTTCACTGAGGTGATTGTTGGGGTTCTGGGCTTTACTGCAGAAAAAACAGAGATAAGAGAAATACATTTTACATCCATGGATCTGGATCAGTCTATTTCCTGCAGATGCTGATTAGATTTATGGACTTTCAGAGAAGTTACACTTACTGCTGTCTCTGATGCTGATGATTTTGGACTCCATGCTTTTGCCTCCTTTCCAAACTGTGGCTAAGTGAGTATACACCGGGTCAAGTGTCATTTCGTCTAAAGTGCAACAACACTGTCCCATGCCACACTGTGCGGGATTGCAATGCCTCATCCTGTGTAATACAAGATAAGATACATTATGTTCTGAATGTATTAAATATCACTGGCTGCTCCGGATGATTCAGTTGATTTTTATTATTAGGTTTACATATGAAGGAAATCAACTCAATCGACATTATTTAATTAAATCAATAAGCACTCAGAAGTAAGCCCATACATATAAACTTTAATAATTCACTGGCTCTGTAGTGAAACATAACAACAACACCATATCCATACCCATTGTCGTAGTGGCTCTGGAGAGTCACACTGTATCCCTCACAGTTTTGCGCGTCAAAGTGGCAAAACATTAAGTCTACATAGTCGTTGGTACAGTCAAGATTTAGGCCTGAAACAGACATTACACCAAGAGATTAGTTGTGAGAATGAGTTATTGTATAGACCATATTAACGTTGTTTACATTATGCACTGTACGTACCGGAGAGAGCTGCTGCGATGTTCCCTAATATAAGCAGGACAAATGATATCCTGTGAACGCGACTGAAAACAAACACAATAGCAGACAGTCGTTACGTTAATTGACTGATTAAAGTAACGCAGACCGTTTCCAAGAGTCGACATTACCTCCTTAGCTCCATGCCGAAACGCTTTGATTCACTTCAACTTCGAAAACAAAACTCCCACTCAGCCTCGATACATGCCGTGTTAGAGTTTACTGTGTCCGTGGGTGCCCTGCACAGTCTCACGCAGTCTTCCTGATATGGAGAGCTCGAATGGGAAATGTTGCGCCACTAAATTACGGGAAGACCGTCCTACTCTGCCTTCCTGAAAGAGCGCAGAAAAGGCAACACACCCTGTTCAGCCGACAGCAGCTAGAAATGGAGAAACTTTATTACCACAGTAAAATAAGAATTAGTGAATTGTGGATGAACGTAGGCCTATAACCGCTGGGGAATAATCCACGCCTGAATATGCACTTAACTGAGGGACATTGCATAGCCACATCTCTGACAGTAGTCTTTCAACTTCAGTTCCATGTATTAGATTGTATTTCATGTTATCCAGCAGACCAACACACCCAGCCAACATTTGTATGTGGGGCCCACGTGGGTATAAACTGGGCTGAAAAATGGGATCTATATGCCTATGCCAACTGCCCACATGAGTGGGGTTACCCAAGTGGGTACTCATCTGGGTAAACCTACCTATATGGGGATATCTGCTGCACCTTGCACATGGATAGCTTATGTAATATTTCACCTGCTTTTTCTTTAAGGCACATTTCTCCTGCAGCAGTTTATGCTTTGGCCGCTGCTCAGCTGCAGAACACTTGGAGAATAGGAATCATATTTTTTTCCACGTGTTTTCACGTGGTTTCAGTCTTTTGATAAACATATTGGCCGTATACCACCTTTCATTAAAGTTTCAATGTCTTTATGTGTCTCAGACATGAAAACATAAATATATTTCTTTTTAATTTAACCTTTCCTGTTTCCATTTTAAATGAAAGCCCTCTGACAACCCATGTACAGTATATCTGTAACAGGGTCAGTTATACAGCAGTAATATGTGTAACAAAGTCAAATGTACATTTGTAATATTAAGTATTATAAGTACACAAAATTTGTTTCAGTTGTTACTACCTGACATGCGTAGGCCTCCATAGTCAATATGTGGAATGTCTGAGACTCAGTTTCTGTGCCCCTGTGTTCACCTTTGGGGGTACCCCACCTATGAAGGGGTGTCTCCTGCCTTGCCTCTCCCCTTTTGCTGTTGTGCTCCGTGGGAGAGGGGCTAGAGTTTATGTGGTTGTATTACATTTAAGTAGAGACCTCATCTAGGGGCATTCTACCGAATGTGTGCAAAGTTGGACTGGAAATATTTTGAAATTTTGTATGTTTTATTTCCAAAACTTTGTCCCTATATAGATATATTGTACCATATGTAAAGGTCACATATAGTAAAATGACTGTACATTTTTATACTGTATTTTCAGACTGTTTTGGAATGTTTTTCCTCTCCCAAAATTTGTCACTACCGAAACATATAGTATTATATTATACAAAAAATATATATCAACCTGTTATGCTTGTTCCTTCCATTGTTTAAAGATTTAAATTTTTACAAATTTTGACTGAAGATTTTCACAATTAAATCTATAAAAATTAATTTTTTAACAAATTTTGAAGTTCAAATTATAGAATTCTTCAAAATCTAAATGCAATCTTTCTTTGTAAAATGCATAATGCTGATCAGATTGATTTCAGAGTTAATAATTGATGAAACAGAACATAAATGTAACCGATTAGCATCATAATACTTTAGCTGATAACTCATTATTCTTTATTTTTTACAAAACACCCAGTTTTTCAGTAGTGACTGCACTGTTTCGGTAGTGACTGTCCTGTTTCGGTAGTGACCATTATACTGTTTTTAAGGTTGCATCGTATTTCCTCAAATGTATGCCTTATGGTGGGAATATTACAAATTCAAAGACAAATGTTTTGTGGTCAATAAAACAATTTAATTTTTGAGAGGGCAGAGCAGAGCAGAGTAGAGTAGAGCGGAGCAGAGTAGAGCAGAGTAGAGTAGAGTGGAGAAGAGTATAGTGGAGCAGAGTATAGTAGAATAGAGCAAAGCAGAGCAGAGTATAGTAGAGTAGAGCAAAGTAGAGCAGAGTAGAGCAGAATAGAGTAGAGCAGAGAAGAGCAAAGTAGAGTAGAGTAGAACAGAGCAGAGCAGAATAGAGTAGAGCATAGTAGAGTAGAGCAGAATATAGAATAGAGCAGAGCATAGTAGAGCAGAGCAGATTATAGAATAGAGCAGAGTACAGTAAAGTAGAGCAGAGCAGATTATAGAATAGAGCAGAATATAGTAGAGTAGAGCAGATTATAGAATAGAGCAGAGCATAGTAGAGTAGAGCAGAGCAGCGCAGAATAGAGTAGAGTAGAGCATAGTAGAGTAGAGCAGAGTAGACTAGAGCAGATTAGTGCAAAGTAGAGCAGAGTAGAACAGAACAGAGCAGAGTAAAGCAGAGTAGAGCAGAGTAGAACAGAACAGAGTAGAGCAGAGTATAGTAGAGCATAGTAGAGTAGAGCAGAGTAGACTAGAGCAGATTACTGCAAAGTAGAGCAGAGTAGAACAGAACAGAGTAGAACAGAGTATAGTATAGTAGAGCATAGTAGAGTAGAGCAGAGTAGACTAGAGCAGATTAGTGCAAAGTAGAGCAGAGTAGAGCAAAGTAGAGCAGAGTAGAACAGAGCAAAGTAGAGCAGAGTAGAACAGAACAGAACAGAGCAGAGTATAACAGAGTAGAGCAGAGTAGAGCAGAGTAGAGCAAAGTGAAGCAGAGTAGGACAGAGCAGAGCAGAGTAGAGTAGAGAAGAGAAGAGTATAGAGTAAAGCAGAGTAGAGTAGACAAGGGTAGAGTAGAGTAGAGCAGAGCAGAGCAGAGCAGAGCATAGAAGAGCAAGACTTTGGACCACAAAACTATGGGGTTTAACTACTGACCATTCCATTTTGTCACTACCGAATTGATCATGTCACTACTGAAACTTTACCATAGGTTTCTGTAGTGACTGTTTCTGTAGTGACATTCCTTGCTATTTTTCAGGATAACTAAAGAATGCTAGCAGTCACATGGCTAACAAGCACATGTTTGAAGAGTTGTTCACACAGAAAAACATAATATTTTGCATAAACCCCCCAAAGCTTTACATAATTGAAGAGAACATGTGTTTGGTAGTGACGGTTTTAAAAGTTACACACTGATTTTCAGACTTTGGAAGACATTTATTTAAAAAATGATGGGAATCAGCGACTTACCATGCTGCCATGTGGGACTGGGGTGCAGTACTACCCCCCTTCTCAAAAATTCAGGGATGTGGCTAAAATCCAGACTCAACCAGAGCATTAAAACTCTTGTGTTTCGGTAGTGACATGAAAACAAGGGACACTATTTTTTTTAGCATAGTTTCTTAATTTAAAAATTAATCCCACAATACATCTAAATCTTTCAGCTTCTGTTTAAACTTAATCACAAATATGTTTTAAATTATACTTTTTAAAATAATATGAAAAATGTTTTAAGTGTTATTTACATGAATTGAATTTTAGAGGTCAGGGTTGGGGACAGCTACTTCCCAATAGAAAGTACCCTATAAATGGTGATTTTGTATATATTTAGCTTATCACTTTTTCATTTAACGTCCTGGGTTTAAATAGGTCATAACATAATATTTGTAAATATCTATGTCTGAATACTCAATTTTATTATTTTTTGTTGTTTTTTTGTTAAGGGACAGCACTTTGCACAAAATCGGTAGAATGCCCTAGTAAAACAATATAAAATAAAAGCACTTAGACACAGAAAAAAGGAAAAACATTCATAAAAGCAACAACAAGAAGTAAAAAGCAACAAAACCAGAGATACAAATGTAAAACACTGTAAAAACTGTAAAAACTGTTAAAATGTAGAACACACTAATCAGATAAAACAGGAACACCTAGAAGTGAAATATGATACAGTTAAAGACTTGAATTGCCTTTTGGATAAAAATGAGGAAAGCTTTAAATTGTTCTGCATGTTGTTCCACGTTGCAGGTGCACAGTATAAAAAAATGAATTTTCCAAGTTCAGTAAAAACAGCCGGCACCTGGAGTGTAATCCAGTCACTAGACAGAGTTTGGTAAGAGCACACATTACAGTGACGGACTTAGGATGTTTGAAGGGCAGGGGCGAAAAGGAAAAAAAGGGCACCTACTGCGTGACATGGGGCCCCATTGGTGCGCAAGAAGATAGTGTGTCATGTATGGCGAAATGGTCTTCGTCCTTGATTGTTAATTAAGATTATATAGACAATCCAGGCTAAAAGTATGTTTAAAATGTTTATTTTATACACTAAAGAAAAGAAAAGATTTTACACAAAGGAAAACTGAAAATCAGCAAAAAACAAAAAAAACAACATGAGTGTTTGTAGGCTATGTGCTGACTCTCTTGATACCACTCCTTGTGAAATTAAGGGCCCTTTGTTTTTGGATAACTTACAACTGGTTGAAAAGGCCCAACAGAGCAACAGAACTCAACAAATCTCTCAGAGTGGTGGTCTATGCTGTGCTTTTAAAGATGAGCTGGATCGGTGGGAAACATTAAGGACTTCATGACATTTCATTAGAAAGGCATCTGTAGGGAACCTCAACTTTATCCCATTGTAAGTGCACCAAATGTATGACATCACATCTTCACTGGAGGGGCATTCACTAGGAAACCTCCCAACATTCTCACATGTCTTTATAGCACTGCATCCCATTTTCTCTACTGGAAAGGGCACCGTTTGGGCAACTGTCATGTAGTGGCAGCATAGAGGGCACTTTAGAATGGCACCACAACCGTTCACCGTTTAGACCACTGGAAGGGCACCAATAAGGCACTGCATCACATATCATCCACTAACAGACAATCATTAAGACACATTATTGAATTTTCTTGTTGTTTTCCATGTGAAGGGCAGCCGATAGGGCACATCCTCTGGTTTCGTCACTCAAGAGGGCAGCCAATAGGGAACATTGTCTTGTTTTGATCACTCAAGAGGGCAGCCAAAAGGGCACATCCGCTCTTTTTCATCGTTCAAGAGGGCAGCTGATAGGGCGCATCCTCTCATTTTCGCCACTCAAGAGGGCAATACAGCGCAGCGTTTTCAACCGAGGCGGCACCAGGTAGAGTTTTGTTTATTGCTAACTAGTTCACTTGCTGACTATTAGAAAGTAAAATTGATGGGTCGTGTAAGGTACAGATTATTGCTGTACTGCCCGATTTTCATTTGTATTTGTAACAATTTGAAATAAAAGATTTATTATCCTGTGTCTGCTGTCTGAAAGTGATTTGATCCACAGCAAAACTTTCTGCCCCCAGGTGTGTATGCATGTGTTTGTATTGGTTTGTATTAGTTGTAAGATGGAGGGGTCTACCTGGTCCAGCCAGCTGACTCCTGGATACCTCCCAGACTGAATCTGCTCCTCCAGCCACTGCCTCAGCCTCAGCCGGCCTGGTTGCTGCATGCTGCAGTCCCGGCTTCAGGTGTGCAGAAAGGTGTGGTCTCGTCACTGGCTTCACAGGAGTTCCAGCAATAACAGAAAATTTCTCAGGAGCTCAGATTTGATCAGAGATTACTCCAAGACACCCCTCCTCTGCTGCGTTCTTCCAATCAAACACCTCACACTTAATCCTGCTCCTTCTCCAATGACCTTCCTCGCTGCTTGAGTGGCTCCTCCAGTTACAGGAAATACTGCATCTACTGTATGTTCTCTTCATGACAGAGACGGGAGAGGTGGAGTATTATGGAGTGGAGATCTGTGAAGGTCCTTGTAACGATATTTAATGCTTTTCTTGCAGGTCTACATGCTGAGTGTGTACAGGGCTGTGGATTTAACACTGCTAACACTTGTTCAAAGTCACCTGAAGGGTTTAAGTCAGTGCTACGTTGATGGGAAGTTTCTGTGACTGCAGTGAAAGAGTGTGTTCATGTAAGACCACCAGGTGGCAGCAGAGTTCATGCTGTGTCTGAGCTGCTTTACACTGTGACAGTGCCTTCACTTTGGCTACCCTCTAAACATGTGCCTCCTGTTAACACTGTTCACATTTTTCAAACATGCAGAACATGCAGTTTGATGCAATATTATATACAGTGCATAGTTACATTATCAAATGAATCTTGGAAATGACTATATACTCTATATTATCCATCCATCCATCCATCCATCCATCCATCCATTTTCTAACCGCTTATCCTCTTGAGGGTCACAGGGGGGCTGGAGCCTATCCCAGCTGACATTGGGCGAGAGGCAGAGTAGACCCTGGACAGGTTGCCAGACTATCGCAGGGCTGACACATAGAGACAGACAACCTACTACTACACACCTACTAATAACTACTAATTTAGAGTCACCAATAAACCTGCATGTCTTTGGACTGTGGGAGGAAGCGGGAGTGCCCAGAGAAAACAAACTCCACACAGAAGGGCTCCGCCAACCTAGAGTTTAAACTCTCCACCCAGTGTTTGAGTCAGGAACCCTCTTGCTGTGAGGCAACAATGCTAACCACCGCACCAACATGCTGCCTAACAATATTGTTATTATGAACTTATTTGAAATATTCCTCCCTAAATTACAAGCCACCCTGATACCCAATTTCAACAGAAAACATATCTATGTCGTTCTAAGGAGGGACATTTGTGGTAGTCTTTATGCCATCTTTCACAAGTTCCTACCAGTGAAGCTGTAAATTTTCTTTGAACATGACTTGGCATGTTTGTGTGCAAAAAATTAAACTCCTATTGGGCCAGTTTATTCAAATTTGCCATGCAGTTAGTTTAAGTGTTTGCAGATATATCTATGATAACTTTGGTCACATGCACACGCCAACACTGAACTCTCTTTATGCTGCTGCTACCTGTGTGTCCTGCTTGCTTAGTGTCATTCTATACGTATATATTGGATATATATGTATATACTGCTTTTAACAACTGTTTGTTCTTTTCTAATCTTTTAACAGCCCTCGTTTTGTTTTTAAGCCTTTTTAACTACAAAGGAAAATAGCCTCTTTTTTACTATGTGTATTAATTAATTTGCACTGTCCTTTCTCTCACATAAGATAAAAATTAAAAAAGCAAACAATACTGTTGAGGTGGAAATTGCATGTTTTACATTGTGACATTAAAAGCTGTGAAGTAATGTATCTCTGAAGCAAACACAACTCAAGATAATATGAACAGATTTTATTTTAACAACATTTACACATTGTTTTGTTTCCAAGAGTATCAACATCTCTTTACACGTTTATAGTAAAATGACTTTCCAAGAGTTCCATGTATTTGCTGCGGTTTGAAGGTGACGTGTGCTTCTGTGGAATTAGCTCAGCTGTTCCATGGAAGAGAAATGAGGAAGTAATTTCATAACCCTGAAAAGCACAAGGTCATTATGACAGCTGATTGTTGTGACTTGTTTCAGACGCAGGGTTCAGTTTATTCGGATGTAATTTTCCTTAAAAGCTCAGTACTGCCAGCTCGGTATGCTGTTCTCTAGCAATGGCTCCTCTGGTCAAATCAAATTCAGAGAGAGAGACTGAAATAATTTAACATAAATGACTCATCTGTTACCTAACATTACACTGAAGTCTTACTAATGCTGTAATAGCTGGTTATACATGATACACAGTGACAGTGTGCGCTACATATTTAAGTAATACATTTCCAATGAGCTATGAGTTGAATATGACATATTATTATGTACAAAGTTTACAAATGTTTCACATCAAATGCGGTCATACACAGTCACAAAATATTTACAAACTGAACAAATCAGCTGTTCTTAAGGTGCAAAGCTGAGTTTTCTTCTTTCTCCCCATCAAAATGTGCGACAGCCTTTAAAACAGTCATGTCACAGATGAGCAAACAAAACAACTCAAAGTCCATTTATTAAGTGTTCAGGAGCTTTCAGACACATCACATGCTCTTCATCAGCAGACGTCTAAACTAAATGGATCTTGAGGTGAGCTTTTTGGTGCCTTTTTTAAGTTTAATTAATGTTTTAACAGACGTTATATTACAAATTTCAGCACTTTACAGTCTGTTACATCCTTCTCACCCACTCTCCCATCTTCTTCATTTGTCAACAGTGTTTCTCAATAGCTTAAAGGGGACCCTCGTGGAATCTTGGCTGCTGATGATCTTTCCACAGTTTCGAATCATATTCCTGCTTGAACATGTCCAATTTTGCTTTAGAAGCTTTTACTGATGATATCTTACTCTAGAAAGGGCTGTAAAAAATTTGATTACTTTAATTCCCCCTGCTGCAAAGACAGAGTTACAGAAGACCTGGAAATGCTGACCAACTACAGCAGACAATATGGGGAAAATAAAGTGTGTTTTTTCTTTTAATTAAAGATTGTAAACATGTTCTAGTAGACACCCAAAATACAAGTATGAACTTGAAAATAAGCATAATATAACCTTCTTAAAGAAGTGAAAAAATCACACAAGAAATGAATGCATATATATTCAGGGCTACACACTCTGATAGCCGCTGTCTGTGATGACTGGCATAGACTGCTCAGCAGGGATCAAAGGGAGAAAGGGTCTCTGGAGCTCAGAGGGACACTGGTCACCCTGGAAACTGTTCATAAAACCTGGAACAGCTGGGCCTAAGAAGCTTTGAGGCATCTTGGTGAATGTTTCCTCTGGACATTTGTTCAACTGTGGCTCCTCCTCACCACTTCTCTCCTCTGAAAACAAAATATTAGGCTGCTCCACCAGATTCTGAAAGGACTGGTAGTTGTCATCCACTAGAGGAAAGCTGAGTGCGCCTACAGGCACACTGCCATAGCAAGGATTTTCATCATATACGAATTCCCCTTCAGTTTTTCCATGTGGCTTTGTCGCCTCATCGAAGCTCTCGCACCTGGTCTCAACTCTGGAGACCGGATCACATGATGCCACTGTGCTGGTGCCACTAGAGGTGGAGGACAAACTGGAGGCTTCTGCATCTCCTCCAGTATCTACAGTGCACTGCTGATACGACATTTCCATTGGTATGAGAGATGAAACCACTGGCGAAGTCAAAAGTGAACAAGCTGATGCCTGCTGGTCGACACAGGTCACATCGTCACTGGCACAAGGATGGTATGTAGAGTCACGCAGCATATCAGCCTGCGTCTGGACCTCGGAGCAGTTTGTCGTCATCTCCTTTGAGCAGCTTGGAATGAGGATGGAATAGGTTTTATTGTCAAAGCAAGATGATCCAGAACTCACATCATCAGCTCGGACACCACAAGGGTCGTATGAAGGAGAAAACAGACCACTGTCTTTGTTTACTTCTGGATTAAGTGAAATGGTGGTCAAAGGTGATATCGGGCTGATGTTGGGGAAGGCTTTAACAAGGGCATCCTGAACACCAGCGATGATGTCAGCAGGCTCAGTTTGAGCATAACTGAGACAAGAAGAGCCAGTACTGATCCCACTGCTTTGTTGAGGGCTCCCACTGCTGGTGTCTCGCAGTGACTCCGACCTGGATACAGAGAAACAGTTTACTTAACCTGCCAATATGATCACATATAACCCCTAAAGGCAATGTGTTGTATTGTTGATGCACTAAAGCAGCCACACTAACCAAGGTTTGCTGTCGTCTGGAACAAAGGGCTCAACACAGATAGAGGAGATGGTTGGTGGCACTGGCTTCAAGAGCTGCAACAAGGAGGATAAAAACAATTAAACCAATAGATCTGACAATTTTCAGATGAAGTAGTCAATTTAGAAACACAACATCAAGTTTACAACACTAGGTAACTCACCTCTTGCTCACTTGGATGCATAATGAAAATCTTGGGATTTGGACATTTGGCAACTGTGTCCCACCATTTTGTTTTCACCCTAAAATCAATTGCACAAATAAATGAACAAACAAAGATTACACACATGACACCTGAACACAACACAGTGTTACAGAATTCACTAACAGAAAAAATGCAAAGACAATATTTTCTCTGCATGACTTACTTTACATAACAGCAATATGCAGTAATGCTGATGATGACTGCAGCAACACTGAGGCTGATGATGATAACCAAGGGCAGGATGTAAGCAGCCATAGCTGTGAACAGAAACATGTATGAGGTCAGTTTGGAAATCACTCCATTTTGGTACAGATGACACGCAGTAGAGGCGGTGCCAGACTTAGCACATTCAGCAAGACCCCCTCTGGGTGACACCCTAGGTGGATGCCTATGTCACCTACATTATGATCCTCCACTGAGCAGAGAGATAATCTACAGAGATCCACATGATATATGCCTGTAGTCTTGTGTTTGGTGTATCCACAATGACAGCTTGTGAGACGATTCAACGCCTATTAATACTGTATGTTGCATAAGCCGAGTGCATTATCGCTTTTTTAAAATGCCTTGCAAATACATTTTTGATTTTGAATGACGTTCATATGTGCATAACAATCAGCAGTAATGTTCACAAAGTCCCCATAAAAGACAAAGTAGATGCAAATATGGAATCGTTTTCTAAACCCAACGTTCACTGGAAGCATAAATATGGCAAAACTCTGGTGTTCTGTTCACTTGTGGTTGTGGTCAGTATCAAATCAAGCAAAAGGGAAAACAGTAGAGCATCTTGAACATGCTCACTCGCTGTAGAGAATGTGGGTGGGGAGGGAGGTCCCTTAGGGTGCAGCAATGGGTTTGCACGTAATAGCAGAGCAAAACAGGAAGAGGAGATGAGAGTTCAGTCTGGCTAATAGATCCATGAGTCACACACCAAAACACAGAACAAATACTATGAGACAGTCATGACACTTATCTGAAATGATTATTTCACAATACGTCTTATCAGTGTGTGGGAAACACCTCCTCATTCATTTCAGTGAGGCCACTGAGTTTGCGCAGTGTGCGTTCTGTAGTGGAGGAGGTCCAATTTTTGCCACAATGCAACACTTTGCATGATACCAAATAAGTACATGCAGCGCACATTCTTGGTAGATCACTCATTTTTTTATTCAAAATCTATACTATGCCTTTTTTCCTTTGGAAGATTGTTCACTGGTTTTGTGTTTTCCACGTTAGTGTCATGAAAAGAACAAAGAAAGATCCAGAAAAAGACTGCAAAGGTAACATCAGTGGGCTGTGACATCAGCATACGTCCCAGTCTGTGAACTCTGTGAAAGCCTACATCACTGGGTCAGGTGCGCCACACCAATTGAGTCAATGTCGCGACAGTATTTTCTTTTTGACACTGTGAGCTAATGTTAATACCAACCTAGACAGTAGCACTTGTAGCACTTCCCCTTACTGGAGTAAAAGCTGTCATGGTTCAAGTGACATTTTGGTAGATGCGCTATAATTACTCTGTTTTTTAATATCCTGAACTGCATTTGAATACAGGAAATAGCATCACAACAATATGTTTTGCTATTCTGGGTGAGATTTTAAGTCATGACAAATAGAATTTAGAGTATACATTTTTTAGAGGTTTTAAGGGGTCCTATTTCAAATAATAGTTCAGACACACTTCATATTTCACCTTCTAAATGGATTATAAGTATGTGAAAGGAATCTTATCATGCCTAAGAAATATACAGTGCACTTAAACATAAAAGCAACAGATAAAGACTGAAAAGATGACACTTACGGGTTGTGAATTCCCACTCTTCACTACTGTCACTGAACTTGTCACTCCTGTTTGTGTAGCTTCTCACACAGACTGCATATGTTTTGCTCGGCTCCAGGTCTTCACCAGGTATTTCATAGTAATTCTGTCCTTCGAACGTAGTCGGTTTGACAGGTTTATTAACCTGGGATGAAGAAAAAAGAATTATATTTTTTAACTTAATGGCAAACTGATATAATCACATACCAATGACTAAGTCTACATCTCCAGTACAAATGATCTCAGTGTTAAACAGTGTATGTATAATGGCTCCTACCTTTTGTGTGTCTCCTTTTATATGGTAAATCACCTCAGCGGTCAAGTCTTCACTGAAAAAGCCCTCGTGGTTTGTTTTCCACAGGATTTGAAAATTCCCATTAGATTCTTTCACTGAGGTGATTGTTGGGGTTCTGGGCTTTACTGCAGAAAAAACAGAGATAAGAGAAATACATTTTACATCCATGGATCTGGATCAGTCTATTTCCTGCAGATGCTGATTAGATTTATGGACTTTCAGAGAAGTTACACTTACTGCTGTCTCTGATGCTGATGATTTTGGACTCCATGATTTTGCCTCCTTTCCAAACTGTGGCTGAGTGAGTCTCCCCCGAGACAAGTATCATTTCGTCTAAAGTGCAACAACACGGTCCCATGCCACACTGTGTGGGATTGCAATGCCTCATCCTGTGTAATACAAGATAAGATACATTATGTTCTGAATGTATTAAATATCACTGGCTGCTCCGGATGATTCAGTTGATTTTTATTATTAGGTTTACATATGAAGGAAATCAACTCAATCGACATTATTTAATTAAATCAATAAGCACTCAGAAGTAAGCCCATACATATAAACTTTAATAATTCACTGGCTCTGTAGTGAAACATAACAACAACACCATATCCATACCCATTGTCGTAGTGGCTCTGGAGAGTCAGATTGTATCCCTCACAGTTTTGCGCGTCAAAGTGGCAAAACATTAAGTCTACATAGTCGTTGGTACAGTCAAGATTTAGGCCTGAAGCAGACATTACACCAAGAGATTAATTGTGAGAATGAGTTATTGTATAGACCATATTAACGCTGTTTACATTATGCACTGTACGTACCAGAGAGAGCTGTGGCAACATTGCCCAAAATAAGCAGGAAAAATGGTATCCGGTTTTGAACTCGACTGAAAACACACAATAGCAGATTTTCGTTACTTTAATGCGATGTATTAGATGATTTAAGTAACGCAGACAATTCCCAAGACTTCGACTTACCTCCTTGACTCCATGCTGCGACATGTAATCCACTTCTTCGGAAAGAAAAATCCAACTCAGCTACGATCCAGTCCGTGGAAAGGCGACCGTCATTCGCTGCGTGCCTCAGTAAACTGCCCGAGCTGTCTTCCTGATCTGAAAGGCTTTTATGGGAAGTGGTGCGCCACTAATTCAGGCCAAGTGCGTCCCACTCTATTTCCTCAAAGTGCAGAGAGAAAGCAAAAGGCCTGCACTTACTGCAGCCGACAGCAGACTTCAGGAGAACAAGTTACTACACACGGATTACCATTATGACGCAAGAAGCTATTACAACTACTTCTCTGACAGTTTTCTGTCAGCCTCTGTTCCACAGATTATATTTCATGTCATCTGGACGACCGACATAGAGTACATGTAAGCCTGGCACAGTGGTCCCCTCGGTGATCCAGGCAGATGGTGCAGTTTACATCACTGAAAATATAAAGCACCATTAGTTTTATTATGTGCTGCGCAACTGAGCCGCAGCCTGCACGCAATAAGGGTTGGTTTAGATTCGGTCACTCTATCTGCAATTCCTTGGAAAGCGAAGGCGTGACCCGCCCTACTCTGCCTCTGATTGGCTTACCTTGACATTCTTACCCTAACCCTAACCAGAGTCCTGATCCTAAACAGTGTCGACCTGGCCTCCAAATCTCCCGCACACCAATCTGATTGAGCATCTTGCGAACTGTTGGTACCCCACCTCACAACTGACAGGTCGCAAATGATCCGAAGCCAGGCAGCACCCCAGTTCCAGACACCATGGTCATGTGTCCATGCCTTGACATGTCAGAGATAAGTCCAATCCAGGGAGGCCCCACCGTGGATTAGGGCTACCTCTGAGGTGTTTTACCTCTGAGGTACCTCTGATGTACCAGCACGTTCCATGGATGCTTGATCAGATTTGGATCTGGGGAAATTGGAGGCCAGGTCGATGCCTTTAGCTTTTTGACAGTAGTAGTAACATTGGAGTAACCTTATTTGGACTCTGTTTAAACCCAGTTTTTGGTATTAAAGGTCCAATGTGAGGCATCAGCTGTCAGAAATGATAGATAATATTCAAAACTATCTTTTCATTAGTTTATAATGACCTGAAAATAAGAATAGCTGTGTTTTTGTAACCTGACAATGAGCCGTTTATATCGACATACAGAGTAGGTCCTCTTCCATGGGGTCCGCCATGATGTTTTACAGTAGCTCAGAATGGACAAAACTCTGGTTCTAGATGTGGACATTCACATTTTTGAATTGGTCACAGTGGTTGTCCTACAAGCTTAGTACACTGAAGTAGTTTCAGTTCTGCAACCTCACCACTAGATGTCACTAAATCCCACACACTGGACCTTAAATGCAGATTTATTACTCTGTCAACTTTCATCTGTCTTGTGTCTTTATTAAGTGTGAACATTATTTTTGTTTTTGGTAGGACTGAATTTGATTCTTGTTTATAGTACAAACCTTTTAAATCCACAGTGTGTAGGAATTTCTCCCATCTAACGCTGAAATCATATATTGTATTCAAACTGATTGCTCACTCTAGCGCCTCACTGTTTCAAACGCGTATTGCAACAACTGTAGCCACTGTGTACCAAAAAGCTATGATAACACTGATGAAACCATGTCATCCGATACTACATGGAGTATTCATTCAGGCTCCTACACAGACACACGCGACGCGAGTTGACAAACCCCCTCCTCACCATGCTGGCTGTGTTTACAACATAGGACTGTTGGGGCGGGTGTAAATCGAAACAAACCAATCACGTCTTGTCTTTTGACAACTGACAAGNAGGCTCCTACACAGACACACGCGACGCGAGTTGACAAACCCCCTCCTCACCATGCTGGCTGTGTTTACAACATAGGACTGTTGGGGCGGGTGTAAATCGAAACAAACCAATCACGTCTTGTCTTTTGACAACTGACAAGAGGCACACCTCACACACCTCACACACCTCATCTCTCTCCTTGCATCACTGAACCGCTGACAGCTGTTAGCTGCTCTTAGCGGCACTGCTACTACCCCGGCACTACTGCAGTATAACAAAGTCCCACTCTTTGAGCATAATGCAGGATCATGCATATGCAGCATCACGGGAGACGAAATCCTCGTCGCCAAGAAAGTGCAAAAGGGACTCAAAAAGGCAATGTGATCAGTGAATTCAAAAAATGAGGGTCATCATCGGGGTAGCCTTTCCCAGGTGGAAAGAGCTGCTGAAGGAGAAAGGTAATGCAATCACAGGCCAGCGCCACTGTTAGCTGTTAGCCTCTGTTAGCCGTAACAGCTAACAGCGGCAGAGTGATGCGAGGAGAGGGATTAGGTGTTACATCTGCTGCTTGAGTGTGTGTGTGTGTGTGTGTGTGTGTGTGTGTGTGTGTGTGTGTGTGTGGTGAGCAGAGTGGTTACAGGTGTGCCGGAGACTGAGCAGAGCACCACCAGCCGCATCTCATTCTGCAATCAACTGCCTACTTGTACTCAGCCCTGCCACATCCACGCTGCCAGATCGTAGCCACTGTTAAGTCAGTATACAGCTCGACTCTAGCCTCTAGTTGAATCCCTGACTTAAAACTTTGTCTGTAATCCTGTTTTCCTGTGTTTCCAGTATCCAACCAGCCTGCTCTGCTCTCCGGTCCGCTCTGCTCCACCTGCCCTCACCTCGGACGCTCCAGCCTACTCCCCACTCAGCCTGCCCCCTCCTCAGACGCTCTGGACCCAGACCCCTTCACCCTTCCCATCCTCCCCTCCGGACTCAGCCCCTCACCCAGAGAGCTAAAATAAACCTTTTGGACTCAAACTGTTTCACTGTCTGTCCGCACTTGGGTCCTTGCAGCCGCCCCGTAACATTAGGTGTGTGAGGTTGAGCCACTTGTCGCTGTTAGCTGTTAGCCGCTGTTAGCTAACAGCGGCGCTGGCCTGTGATTGCATTACCGTTCTCCTTCAGCAGCTCTTTCCAGCTGGGAAAGGCTACCCCGATGATGACCCTCATTTTTTGATTTCGCCGGGTGGTCATATTGCCTTTTTGACGAGGATTCCGTCTCCCGTGATGCTGCATATGCATGATCCTGCATTATGCTCAAAGAGTGGGACTTTGTTTCAAATTTGCTGGGGTAGTAGCGAAGCACCTCTTGCTCCACTCTTCGGCTTCTCAGTCACGCAGCGCTGGTGTGGCTCTCAACGAAAATGCCGAAGGCAGGGCTGTATGTCCCTTGCTGGCGGATGTATTCTCAAGGTGGCGAAACGTTATGGAACCCCAGACGACTTGCCCGCACAATGTACAGACAAATCCGAAATTCTCCTTTTACGAGAATAAGTCAGATTATTGGTGGAGGTAATAATACACCAATGATGACATATGAATGCAGACATCGATTTTTGCCAATAAACAACTGAAAATGTTACACAATGTCCCCTTTAAATTTGCAGGACATTTAAAGGTATCTTAAAGGAATACTTCACCCACAAAATGATCATTGTGTATCAGCTAGGCCTAGTCCTACTGTGTTACCTTGGATTTATGTAGGAAACTAGAGCCATGCTGCTAATATGGCTAAAAGCAAATCTAAGTGTTATGTGCTTATGTAAAAAAAAAAAAAATACAGTTGACCGATATTGTATATTGTTATCAATTTTTTTTAATCACCCAAATTGTGATATCATAGTGCCTTTAAAAATACAGTATTGGTTGGGTTATAATCATATGGATTTGAACAGCAAGTTCAAAATGCGTGCTTTATTATATTTCATTTGTTTACAGGCTGCTTGCTCTCAACCATCCCTTTTATTTACTGTATTCTACAGATAGCTAAAACAGGAAGCAATTTAGTCGGCCTGGTTCCAGCAGTACAGGAGCAGTCCACTTTATTGCCAGTCAGATGCTTCTGCCCAAAACTACAAGCCTGGAAGGCTGCACATTGGCCAGTGATTATCAGATCCTTCTTTAGAAAGCTGCAGGGATCCACTGAGCAGCAACAATCCAGCTGCTATTTGTTATTTTCCAGCCAATAACTTCAGTAATGCCACAATTCCTGCCTTGGGTTCTCTTTCTTAGTTACTGCAAAGGTCATGACCTGTAAAATACTGATAATTATTGGTATTTTATCAGAGTGTAACAGTACACAGAAGTCACAGCGTGGTTCATATCCTGGTTTAGGGGTCATGTTTAAGTGCAAGTTTGGTACAGCAAGAAAAAAATGACTTAAATGCATGAGGATATTTTCTTTTCATTTATTTTGAAAAGACAGGAGCACAAATGTCAAACAGAGGCAAAGTCCTGCTGGGTACTGGGGTAATTTTTTGCCCACTGGAATCTTTGGTAAACTGTTTTTATTTAGGAACATTTCAAACACTTCTGTATTACACTCTAGGAACACTGAACAAACGCTTTCACTATGGCGAAAAGGTCACAACAGGCAATACAACTGAAAAAGATCTTGCTTTGAAACTGAAATTACAAATAAATACAGTAATAAAAAATAAAACTTGTCCATTAGGTGGAGTGTTACAGTTCCACATTGGCTGTTGTGGCTAGCTGGCTCACCTGCCTCCTCATAACCTTGACATTAGCTGATTTCAGTTCACAACCTGACAGTCAAGGCTCTTTTGCTTTTTACCGAAGTCTGTCTAAATTGGTCAGTAAAAAGACAGCCAGTACCACCTCTTCTCTTTGTAATTAAACTGAGAGTCTACAAAAGAAAACTTGCTGCGTAGTGACATCAAACAGACATCCAGAGATTTACCAGAAAATAGTATTTCTGGAGACGAGACAAGCATAAAAACCATCTGAGTGTCAAGAGGGGCTCTAAAAACAGAGGTAGTCAGAAGGATCTACCCCAAATGTGACTCAAGTTATTGTGATGTGACTGTCTACAATTATGAAGACAATAATATTGTTCCTCTGACTACTGCTGCTGAAACACTACTGAGTATGAAGCTCAGAAAAAGAGGGCCGACCGATGAGCAGCAGTTATTTGGGTTATTCTTGAGGAGGACAGCTGAGCGTTGGTGTTAATTGTAAAAGAACTCTTTTGGATCAAACGCTCACATCATCACAGAGAGGTCCAGCACAAACAGGAAGTTGTGAAAGTGAGACTTTCGATCTTATTGCTATCTCCGCAATGATAAAAATGAGGCATTTTTTTTAATCTAGAAATCTATTCTCTGATTTGATCTGGTTCTGCTGCAGATACAAATTGGTCCATGTCTTAACAGTTTATGAATATATTTCAGGACAGCAACCGAAGTTATGATCAACATACTGCTGCTATGATGGGCAATACCATTTTTGGTGCTGGTGCTGAAGAACGGAGCATATTAAATACTAAAGATAGGCTGAGGCGGGCTGCTGGAAGGCACTACGGGAGAGGCCTTAATTGACTCACCTTCTGTTATATGCATTTTATCTTTAAAAATATAAAACATTGTGGGTTCAGCTGCCTCAGGCACACCCATTGCTAAAAGGTACAGTCAAGTCTACAACC